AGACTAGATGGGATCTGGTAGTGATTAGATTACGTGGTGAGGAGCCTGGGATTCCAGCATGGGCTGCTGGGTAAATGGTGGGGTCAAAAATGTGGGGAGGAAGTTGTTGATTAGGTGGTTCAGGATAAGAAGTAGAATTCTGGACAGGCTGAATTAAAGGGACTTGTGGGACACAGAGATGGAGATTTTCATAAAAGATGTATAGGCAGGTTTGGGGGAGAGGCCTGTGCTTGAGACAGAGCTTACAAAATGAATCTGACCATACCCCTTGCCCCAGACTACACCCTGACGTTCCTGAAAATTCCAAGATGTTTCTTTCTCTACTCCTACCCTGAAGTTGAGTATCTCAGTTGGGTTTTAAACCTTAGATCTGAATTGTCCAATGGGAAGAAAAGAGGACCGAGGAGCATCAAGATTTAAAGGCAGTCAGAGAAAGAGATGCCTGAGAGGCTAAGTTAGGGAAGAGTGAGAGGAGGAGGATCAGGAGAGAGGGATGCCCTGGAAGCAAGGGTCAGGAGAGGCTCATGTAGGAGGAAGCTGTCAAGAGGATCAGATGCTACAGAGAGATCAGCTGAAATGAAGACATACACGACTGTATTTGACAGTAGGATGTTTTAAGGCTTGTAGGAGTTGTCTCGGTGCTAGAGGAGGCAGAGTCAGATTGCAGTATTTAGCATGGGTTTTAGAAGGCCTGCAGGGGATGTGATAATTGTCTTCAAATACTTGACTTACTCTCTTTGACTGCCATTTTGGTTAAGTCTTTTGACAGAAAACCCAACTCAAACTGGCTAAAGCAAAAAAAGGAATTTATTGGTTCAGATTACTGAAAAGTCCAGATGTATCAAGTGAGGCTTGATCTAAGAGTTTAAATGATACCATCAATACCTCGTCTCTTTCTGTCTCTCAGCTCTCCCCTCCTTGTTGGCTTCATTCTCCAGCCCAATGTAGTGGCAAGAAGGATGCTAGACACCCAAGTTTATTTCCTTCCAGATTGAAGTTCAGCATAAGCAAGACCTTGTTTCTTTCTCGTAGCTCCAAGATTCCTAATTGGACCTACTTGGATCATACACCCAAACCTGAACTGATTACTGAGGGTAGGGGGTTGCAGGTAGCCAGATATAGAGCATGAGCCACCTCTGGACCAGTCACTGTGGTTGGAGGGATTCAGTGCTCTGATTGACAAGGCCTGAGTCACATATCTACTTTGGAGTTGAGATAGAATCCCAGCTGAGCCATTTGGACTACCTGTGCAGGACGGGGTAGTTCTCAAGTAAAACTAGAGTGCTCTTCCCAGAAGCTGGAATAGATACTATAGCTAGAGAGACAATGTCCACCACAGCTGTAGATGCTGAGCTAGAATCAGTGAGTAGAAATTACTGGTTGCTGCATTTCCGCTCACAGAGAAAGATCTTTTTATGGAGTCCAGCAATGAAACAGGCCGGCTGTGGAGATATTGAGTTGACTGCTACTGGAGGTACCCAAACAACTACTATAAATAGATGACAACAAGCCATCGGCACTGCGTAGATGGAACAGAAAACCTCTAAGGCAGCATTTTTCAAACTGTTTCACTGTGACCTGCAGTTAGAAATACCTTTTTACATTGCAACCCATATGCCCTTATGCATGTATACAGTGGTGTCACTAGGACTGATGTTACCCAGTGTGGTAACTCATGGTGAAACCACTTCATACTAATTACCACAATATTATAGCTAAAACACAAGAAAATTTGACGAAATCAGTGACTATAAAAACACTGGCAGCAATGAAAACAGCAGCGCGTGTTTGTAGTGCGCGCAGACGAAGCCATATGATTCAAAGCCTGCTTGTAATTGGGTAGTAAGGATGGCTCTGACTGGAGTACATTAAAAGGTTCAAAAAGTAAATTAGCATAGCGTTTTAGCCTTGTAGGTGTATTGATACAAGTAAGCTGGGCTTACGAAAAAATTTTTTTGTTGTTATAACGAACTACAGGGATAATTTTTTAAAAAATAATGAATTTCTGCTGAACACTACGAAAAATTTTATATACAGTCATTTTGATGTCATTCCCTCTGATAGTGTCACTCAGTGGGGTCCACACCCTCCTAGATGCCACTGTGTGTATACGGAATTGCAAGCAACAGTTTCATATTTCTGTTTTTTTATTATACCTTTAAAACCCTGCTATTTGCAGCCCACTGAATTAATGGGTCTCAACCTGCAGTTTGTAAAATCCTGTTCTAAAGTCAGGGGTTCCTGACATGCTGGCCCCAGATGGACTAGAAGATGGCATTTGAATCTGGCTCTTCCACTGTGATGGTGGAATGAGTCAAAATTGAGGAAGCAAGCCTATTTTGTTGTCGCAGTTCCTGGGTCTAAGTGGTGGAATCTCCCATCTGTCAGAGCCGCTCCTGACCTATCGGGAGTGGAGTGGCCTGTTGTGGGCCTGCAGGGCCGTGTTGGAGGGAGCCTTTACTGGCGGAGGGCTGGAGGATCATGGAGGCGGCCCTGGCAGTCTGTCCTGAGGCTGGCAGCAGCTCCTTCTATGCCAGCAGCGGTTTATGCTCTGAGGTCGAGTGTGTATGTATGTGTGTGTGCATGTGTTCTCTGCCAGCCCTTTATATTGAAGACGAGGGAGTGGCTTTTAAAAATAACATATTTTTGACTGGAAACAAGTTAAGGCAGAGAGTGGAGACAATTAGAGACTGACATCCTGTTTAGTCATCTCTCCTGAGAGCTCTATTTTCAGAACTTCTATAAAGATTCGCCAATGGTGTTAACATAGTTAAGGAGAGATTGTTAAGTTAGCAGGGATTGTGATACAAATAGCTGATTTGAACACTGGGGTGATTTACAGTGTGGTAACCAAATTGGTCACAGATTTTATGCAGAAAAAGGAAGGGTTATAAGAACAGGTAAAACTTTTTGACTGTACAAAACAGGGATCTTTTATTTTGAAAACTGGGTGTGGTGTTAAAATTAAAAAAAAAAGTGATCATGACCTCGGGTAAGGTCAGTGCATTTTTTTATGGAAGAGGGGATGGTCTTTGTTCACCTGTAAGTATAATAAGAACAGTAAATAGTACTGTTAAGCTTCTTTGAGATCATCTGATGGAAGTCATGTCAGAAATGGTGAATAATGATGTCATAGACTTTCAGATGGAGCCCCTGGGTGGTGCAAATGATTATTGCACTTGGCTGCTAACAAAAGGTTGGAGGTTCGAGTCCACCTGGAGTCACTTCAGAAGAAAGGCCTGGCAATCTACATCTGAAAAATCAGTCATTGAAAACGCTAAGGAGCACAGTTCTACTCTGACACACATGGGGTTGCCATGAGTCAGAATCAACTTGTTGGCAACTGGCTTTAGGCTTTCAGATGAGAACAGTGAGACTTGGAGTGGATGAAGGTCCTTGCCCAGGGTCCAGAGCTGGCATTGGCTGAGACAGAGAGAAGCCCCTGTCCTGGTCTAGTTCAGGGTTCTTTCTGCCACACCATATGATTTGCAGCTTATTCACACTGAATATTCTACCAACAATGACCATCCGTATCGATACTCAGCTTCTCTTCACCTTCCTCCTTTAGATGGACAGTCACAGGCAGAAATAACCATGGGCTAAACCTGACAAGATTTATTTAAGGACAAATTGTAAATTAATGCATTTGGTTCCAAAAGAACTTCTCAATCCAAGGTAGTAATTAGCAGCCAGCATGAAAAGGGCACAGCTTACCCACTTGGCTAGTGGTGATCAGAGCACATCAGGAGGGCACTGTTCCACTGGGACGCCATGCTGTATGAGGGTCTTTGGGAAACTGGAGTGTGTGCAGAGGATGGGATCTCAATGGGGGAGACAACTTCAAGCTGCCTCAGTTGCAGAATGGATGTCTTGATGTTTCAGCCCATAGATAAGAACTTTAAGGGACATTGATATTGTCATGAACAAGTAAAGTGTAGTGAATGCAAAGCATCTAAACTTCCTTTCTCTAGTTCTTCCTTAAGATTAACTAGACTTTGGTGGAAATAGTATAGACAGAGACAGCATTCTGCTTTTTATACTTTTTCTCGATACGACTAAAGATTTGCAGTTGACAGACCATTATTACCTTTATCCATTTCATATACTTGCCATGGGATTTAATAAAACGCTACTCTTACAAGTGGTACACATAATTTGGGAATGTCTCAAAAACAATTACCAAAAGTTTGAGTACTCCTCTATATCACAAAAAGGCAAAAAATGGAAGAGAATAAAATTTAAGAGGAATGAAACTCTGAAAGAACTTAGTTTCTTTTAGATTTGTGTCTCAACCTTTACAACTCTTTGAGATTTCACTTGTTCCTTTGCCCCTTGTCATGAATTATGACCCCCACAAATATGTGCATCAATTTGGCTAGGCCATGATTCCCAGTATTGTGTGGTTGTCCACTATTTTGTCATCTGATGTGATTTTCCTGTATGTTGTAAATCCTACCTCTATAATGTAAATGAGATAGGATAGGCCGCAGTTATGTCAGCAAGGCAGAACTCAATCTACAAGATCAAATAGTGTCTTGAGCCAATCTCTTTTGAGATATAAAAGAGAAGCAACCAGAGAGACAGCGGGACCTCATGCCACCAAGAAAGCAGTGCTGGGAGCAGAGCACATCCTTTGGATTCAGGATTCCTGCGCAGAGAAGCTCCTAGTCTAGGAGACTATTGATGAGAAAGACCTTCCTCCAGAGCCAACAGAGAGAGAAAGCCTTCCCCTGGAGCTGACGCCCTGAATTTGGACTTCTAGCCTACTAGACTGTGAGAGAATAAACTTCATTTGTTAAAGCCATCCACTTGTGGTATTTCTGTTATAGCAGCACTAGATGACTAAAACTCTCCTCTCCTGTTTAATGAAATTCTGAGATCTGATTGCTGACTGTGATTTGCATATTTTGACCTCTGTAAAGAGTTGAGGCCCACGAAAAGTACTTTAAAATTTAAAATTAAAATAAAACATAATTTTTCTTTTTTTTTTCTCTTTCTAGGTTGATCTGGAGCCAGAGGGAAAAGTATTTGTGGTAATAACCCTAGCAGGGAGTTTCACTGAAGGTAAGAATGAGTTTTGTGTTGTTTTCTGGTACATGTGCAATCTCAATTCATGTTCAGTAGGAATTTCAATCATGGAAATTACATAAAGGGCATTTTGTAAAAGAGATTTTAAAATTTTTTCAGTGCCTTAAATTAGCCTGGCTGGCATTTATTGCCTAATGGTTGGATTGCTAGATTAAATTAAAAAAAACAAACCCAAAACCCACTGCCGCTGAGTCAATTCCGACTCACAGCGACCCAATACAGTTTCCACGGCTGTCAATCTTTACAGAAGCAGACTGCCACATTTTTCTCCCGCGGAGCCACTGGTGGTTTAGAACCACTGACCTTCTGCTTAGCAGTCGATAGCTTTAGACATATTTGCTAAATCTGACTATATATATTTTGTTTAATGTACTCGCTGAATTTTTATTCATTGTTATCTTGTTGTTGATGAGTTTTTATTCATCATCATTTTGTTTTTGTTAGGTGCCATCGAGTCGGTTTTAGGGAGCCCATGCAACAGAGTAGAACTGCCCCACAGGATTTTCTAGGCTGCAATCATTATGGGAGCAGATCGTCAGTCTTTCTCCCAAAACACTGCTGTGTGGGTTCAAGCCGATAATCTTCTGGTTAGCAGCTAAGCGCTTAACCGTTGCTCACCAGGGCTCCTATCATCATTTTAGATGAACTAATAAATTCTTATTGCCTCGTTTGGTTTATGCCTGTTAAATTGTACTTTAGATTTGTTGTTTGTGTGCTAATCTTTTAGTGTGTTACTGAATTTGTGTGAAAGCGGTTTAGGGATCATGTCCGATTCCTTATTATCTTTATCTCATTTTTATCTTTTAAGGGATTCTGTTCCTCTTCCCCTGCTACCACCCACCTCCCCCACCCCCAAGGTTTTTTTTTAATTGAGGTAAAACTTACAACAGTGAAATGAACATTTCACAAGTAAAAAAAAAAACTGAGTTTTGACAAATGCATATGACCTTGTAGCCAACATCTCAATCAAAAATATATTACATTTCCATCCCTCTGAAAGTTCCCTTGCGCCCTTTCCCAGTCAGTGCCTTGCTGCCAGAAGCAATAAACATACTGATTTTTTTTTAAGCCATAGATTAGTTTTGCCTATTTGAGAAGTTTATAAAAATAGAATTATAGTATGCTTTTTTTTGGTATCTGGTTTCTTTTGCTCAGCATAATTTCTGTGACATTCATTCATGCCATTGTATGTTTCAGTATTTTATTCAATTTTATTGCTGAGTGGTATTCCATTACATAAGTGTAGCAGAATTTGTTTACCGTTTCTCCTTTTGATGGATGTTTGAGGTTTTCCCTGTTTTTGGATATTATAAATAAAACTACTGTATAAACATTCTTGTACATAAATTTTTGTGGCTATACACTAGGAGTGGAATCGCTGAATAATAGAGTAGGTGTGTATTTAACTTCATAAGAAATTCCCAAATGGTTTTCCAGGGTGGTTGTGTTATACCTCACCAGCAATGCGTGAAAGTTCCAATTACTCCATATCCTCACCAACACTTGGTAGGGTCAGTCTTTTTAATTTTAGACATTCTAGTGGGTATGAAATGGTCTCTTATTGTGGTTTTAATTTGTATTTCCTTGGTGTTGAGCACTTTTTTATATACTTGTTGGTCATTTGGAGCCCTGGTGGTGCAGTAGTTAAGTGCTTGGCTGCTAACCAAGAGGTCAGCAGTTCGAATCCACCAGCTGCTCCTTGGAAACCCTGTGGGGCAGTCCTACTCTGTCCTGTAGGGTCACTATGAGTCGGAATCAACTCAGTGGCAATGGATTTGTTTTTTTTGGGTTTTATTGGTCATTTGCATTTTTTTATAAGTGCTTATTTAAGTATTTTGCCCAATTAAAAAAAATTGAGTTTGCCTTTTTATTATTTATTTGTAGGAATTCTTTGTATTTTCTAGATATGAGTCCTTTGTCAGCTATGTATATTGTGAATACTTTCTCTCAGTCTGTAGCTTGCCTATCCATTTGAAGAGCAGAAGTTTTTAATTTCTGTGAAGTCCAGTTTATCAATTGTTTCATGATTTGTGCATTTTGTGTCCTCACTAAGAAATCTGTGACTATCGTAGGGTCACAAAGATGTTCTCCTGTTTTTGTTTTTTTTAAAACTTATATGTTTAGCTTTTATATTTAGGTCTATGTTCCTTTTATATTTGTGTGTGATGTGATGGAGGAGTTGAAATTGTTTTTCTATACAATAATCCAGTTTTCCAGCATCATTTGTTGTAAAAAAACAAACCTGTTGCCAGCAAGTTGATTCCACTCATAGTGACCCTACAGGACAGGGTAGAACTGCCCCACAAGGTTTCCAAGGCTGTAATCTTTATGGAAGCAAACTGCCCCATCTTTCTTCTGATAAGTGGCTAGTGTGTTCAAATTGCCGACCTTTCAGTAAGCAGCTAAATTGCTTAACCACTGGGCCACCAGGGCTCCTTATTTGTTGTAAAGACCCTCCTTTTCCCATTGAATAGCTTGGCACTTTTGTCAAAAACCAATTGACCATATATATGTGTCTCTTCTGTTCCACTGATCTGTTTGTCTATCCTTATACCAATATCACACTGTCTTCCTTACTGTAGCTTTATAGTGAATCTTAAAGTCAAGTACTATGAGCGCACCAACTTTGTTCTTTTTGTTTAAGGTTATTTTCCTTCAATGGCCTCCTATAGGAGTTCTACCATTATCTCTTGAGTCTACAATCCCAAAGCTCTTCTTAAAAAAAAAAAAAAAAATTAAATGGGGCTGTGTTCTGTGATATATTGGAATGGTATTAGGAGCTGCTGCCTAGTCCTTATCTCATTCTGTTCCATTTTTCCAATTAGCAGCTCAGACAAAAACATTTTATTAAATGTAAGATATGACAGAGAAATGACATGAGAAATACCTGCTAGGTGCAGATTTGTAACCCTAGTGCAGATGGCGGGGAAATAAAGGCAGACGTATCCGATGTGTGCAGTGCAGGGGGCCAGGTGCCATGACAGGAATAAGTCCAAGGCACAGAGTTGGCTCATGGGAAAGAGCTTGGGGAAGGAGGTTTTAGAAAAAGCTTCATAGGGGAGGTGATGCTTAAATAAGTTCGATATATAAGTAGGAGTGTGCTGGGAGAAGACGACAGTTTATACAAAGGCATAGAGGTGAGCATTGGTAGGTTCAGAAAACTGAAAGTGGTGTAGAGGTGCCTGAGGTAGGGGAGTGATGGGACAGAGGCCAGAGACTTGGGAGGTTTGCTCGGGGCAGTCCCGGTTTCCTTGCTGTACCGGTGTCACTGTTAACGGTGCCAACATTCCCTCTCAAGTGCTCCAAGTTAGATGAGAAATTGTCTGGTATCACTACTTCTAGGCAAGTAGTCGTGGTGGGTGCTGGCAAAGGGTTTTAAACAGAGGGACACAAGATCTGATTTGGTGGCAGTAGGTTCAAAGATGGGAGTGTTGTTTAGGTCATGAGAGAAAACCAGTACATGGAGAACCATTAAGAGATTATTAAAATTGTCTAAAGGAGAGATGATCAGGGCCTGAGTTAAGTTGGAATCATTGGGAATGGATAGGAAGGGACAGCTTTGAGAAATGTATAAAACCAAAAACCAAACCCATGGCTATTGCGTCGATTCCAGGGTTAGAAATCTCTATGGAAGCAGACTGCTACATCTTTTTTCCCGCAGAGCCATTGGTGGTTTCAAACTGCTGACCTTTCAATTAGCAGTCAATCGCTTTAACCGCTGCATTACCAGGGATCCTTTGAGAGATATATAGGTAGTAAAATCAATAGGAATTGGCAATTAATTGAATGTCAGAGATGAAGAAGGGCTAGTCTCAGGTAATACTCAGATGATGTGTGGAGTCATTTACCAGGATAGAAACCCAGGGGGTGGAAGATGATGAATTCAGCTTTGGACGAGTGGAGCTTGAGGTGACTGTGAGACATCCAAGTGGAGATGTCTAGAAGGAATTGGAATTGTGAGTCTGGGTTTTGGCAAGAGGTTCGGGCCCGAGATAGCTAATAGCTCTAGTGCCAGTGGAAGACAGGCACATGGATGAAGGGACCCAGTGAGAAGATTTAGAGAGAAAATCAAGGCTGGCCAACAGCCTTGCAACATCAGCTTTTAAGGACTCTCACTTATAGATTGTAAGCTGTCAAATAACCCGAGATCTGTTGAAGGTTTACTTAATGAATACCCATTTCACTAATGGACTCATTTGTTCATTCAGTAATATTTGAGTGCCTAATGTATGCCAGGCACTATTTCACCAAATGGTCTAACGTCTTCCAAATTGGCATCAAAATGTTTGATAATGAAATGTGAAGAAAGAATATAAAAGACTTTGAAAATGTAATAACTGAATTGGTGGTAACTTATCTTCAAAGTTCGGCGATACAGGGGGCTGAATGCAGATTTATGCATGATGCTTGGATGAGAAGAACAAATGGACCTGCTCTAAAATCTGCAGTGAGTTTTAAACATACTGAATTCTTGACCAAACAAGGAACTGGGGAACTTGGGAATGTCATAGACCAAGGGAAAAAAAAAAAAAAAGTTTTGACAGTATCACTTTGTGAAGTGTCTTGCAGAGCCGGAGGCATAGCATTGTCAACTGGGTCAGAAACTCCTCACCGTTGTCCATTATGAGAATGGTGTTCTCTCTCTCAATCAGATACAGAATTCGCCTGAGTACTGCTGCTGAAGTAGACACAGTTGAAGTGATTTATTATTTTGAAAACACTGTCTAGCATCACTCTTATTTCATTCTGGCTAAACCTTTCTGGAGCTAGCAACTGGATTTGCAACCTAATCAAGCTGCAATGTATTATATGGATGAGGCAGACCTGAGTTTTCAGTGCATTGCATAGGGGCTGTCATTGTCCTCTTATTATGATTGTCTCGAGCTACTGGGCTAGTTTCTACCTGGAAAAGTGGAGTGGCAAAAGAATAGGTTGAAATAAAGGAAACTGATGAAAATGCATCAAACTAAATTCAT